TTTACGCATATATGGATTGGTGCAATTTGGCAAATTAACTAGGGCAGCTATTCATCAGGAACAATAAGGTTTATTTACCCGTGTAATGCTAATTTCTTTAGGAAATGGCACATTTTATTGGTCAACTCAAGGAAAGACAATGCGCCTTCTTAGCATCCTATGAAGATATGTGACTTCTACATCTGTCCAGGTTCGCGTTAATCCGGAACTAACAAGGAAACGATTTTACTAAACGACCTTGTTTGGTTACTTGCTTGTTATAGTGTATAGTCGAAAAAATCCGAACACAGCATGCTTGAAGAACCAGTGTGAATGGTCTGGAGACGGCATTTGATCACTATAAGGCCAATTAGCACTGACCGATATGATGACGCCACAAGGACATGTTTTCGGTTATGAATATACTGAGCTGAGCAGTCGGGCTGAGTGGAGATTTCTGCGTTCTAAACTGAGTTTTAAATAAGATGTGAATCGCACGTGAACGACTGTCAAATTACACGGTTCCTCACAATGAACATCCCACAATGGTGTTACTTATGGGAAAGTGATCTGATTGTTTCTGTTGGACTCTAGTGTGCTTATCGGAGTACTTTACTCTCACTGGTTTGGAGAGCTTGGCCATTTGTGTTTACTGTCAGTAAATGAGCTAAGACGACTGAGAAATGACTGTTTCGGATTTGAAATTAATAGGGTTTCTCAAGTCAGATTGGAAATCCTTGGATCTGAGATTGGGAGATGATTGAGGACTACAAGCTCTGGGAAAATAATGGATTTTTGAGATCACTTCAAGGTTGCTCAGCTTAGGTCAGCAATGATGCACACAATGATTTCGGAATCTGAACAAACAGGTACCACATTTCCCATGGAACGAAAGGTCAAAAAACAAGCCACGTGCTTGGTTTTTTCTCGAAATTTCATTAATAAGCCATGCTTTTTGGTGGTTTTCGATTGTGAGACTTCGGAGTTTAGGCGTCACATTAGCCTGGGTAGGTCGCCACGCACGTTTGGTCGTAGTACAACAAAATATTCGCAGATCGCTCATATATTTTGGTTGTGTCTTGAATCGATGGCTAACAGAAACGCAGTTTGACGTTCGTACTCTTAACAGGCCTCGAGTCATTTGCACCCAGACTTTTCGCTGTCCACCATTCTGCGGGGACGTTCGATTGCTGAAAAACCACAGAATTCCGAATCGACTAGGTCGGGTCGAACATAGATCTTTGAAATCGCCCTTCTCCTTCATAGTAGACGACTACGGGTAATCAAATATCACGCTCATTTTTATTTCCATTTCAATGTACAATCTGAAAAGACCCAAAGTTGCGGATAAAATAAAGCGCAAACCGGTTCGTTCGACTCTCCTAAAAAAACCGGCCTGATGGTAAGGCCAATAGTTCAACTGAATGACTCCTCCAAGTTGGTTTCAATAAATAAAAGCCACTCCTTTGAAGGATGCGTAATAGTGTTTTCTGTCAGCTGTGAACTAGTTTGCGAATGTTCCAGAAAGGAGCAGTCACATACCACCATTCCTTAGTTGCTTCTTGCTGAAGGGTTCATCGAATACAAAAGTATGGAGCATCTGTATAAACTATACTCAGCACACTGTAACATACCGGTAAGTCTTTCTGATAGAACCTTCGCACAGTCTCGTCTGTAAAAGACCGAGGTGCCATATCCTTTAACTGCAATAAAGTAAGGGGAGAGAAACATTCTCAGGAGTCGGGTACAATGTGAAATTGTTCGTCTTTTGGCGATTATTCAACCTCATCGTGTCCATCAAACACAGACGAACGCTTTATAAATAAGCACAGTCAAATACCGATATATTAGTCACATAGGGTTGCTTAATTGATTGGTGAGCATCTGTACATGTGAAACGGTTCTTCAATTCATAGAATTAGGTCGGTAACGCGCAGCCTAGTTTCGCTTGATTTTCCTCACGCAAAACTAGGTCAACGCAGTATGATAGATAATAACGTTTTCAAAATCAGTTGACAGAGTGAATAGCAATCAAGTTTTAACCAGCAACAAAGTTGTAGCTTGCTGTGCGAAGGTGGTGTCGGTCATGCCAAGTTCCTGATGGAGGTCAGGAAGCGGTTTTGTGAAGTTTGGGCCACTGTTTGTATCAGGCATTTCCGAATGTAAATTTCCGGCATTAAATACGTCTTAATGGCTTCAGCAGCTACCTAAAGAGTGGGAAGGCCGATTGCCTAGCATTAGGTTTGGTCCACTGATTGGCCGTCGTCGTGTAAAACAGATCACTGGATTTACGGCACAATACCTCCTTTTCCAAGCATGATGCACGCGCCGTCGTGTAAAACAGATCACTGGATTTACGACACAATGCCTCCTTTCCAAGCATGATGCACGCGGAAAGACGGAAGGACTAGAAACTAAGACATCGAAGTGTAGTCACACCTATAGATCTGTACCAGCTCAATACGGTTGAATAATGTTCATACGGTCACCAGTTAGAAATGTTTACCAGGTGGCTATCGTAGGCAGAATCAAATATCGCAATTGCTCGCTAGGCCAAGTGAGGACACGCAGTTGTAAAGGCATAGATAGTCGATTTAAGTGATGGCTCTTTACCTTGCTGAACCTTACTCACAAAAGCAATGAATATTCGGTGAAAAATCGTACTAGACTTGAGGATGCATGCTAAACCCAAGTCAGATTAACAGAATAGCGTGATTAGTGACACCGTGAATTGAGTGCGTCGTCTGCTTTGTTATCCTTGAAGTAGCCGCATCAATCGTAACTCTGGTAGCACAATGAACACTGGGTCACATCAGCTTCCTTGATGATAATGGGAAAAATGGACACGTTTCTCTACTCAATTCCATCCACCTGGTCCTGAGACATAGTGAATTTTGGGTAAACCCGAGGCAATAACTGTTTCTAAGCAAGGTGATCACTTGGATGTGTTCTGCACAGAGTGATCCTAGTCCACCCATCCAATCGGAGAGGGTGTTGCTCTCCAAAATCGTCTGTCGATTACTCGTGTTTGCTGTATTCGTTCGAATGACTTCGTTTCATTTTGTATATAGCTCACCTGGTGTCCGAGGTTCATGGGCCCAGTGTTCGGGTTATCCAACTATCACAACGCAGGTAAACTCAACAGTTAAGTGATCTGTCTTCGGCTCTTGTGTGTGTCCTCACTTGACCTAGCGAGTATGTGGTTTATTTCGTTCTGCCTACGATAGTCACCTGGTAAAGATACCTAATTTGTGACCGCACGAACATTATTTAACCATATTGAGATAGCGCAGACTTGGAATTTTACTCACGCCGTCTTCCCTACTCTCATGCGAGTATCCTGCGTGCAGGAACTAGTGAGACCTCATCCCATTGGTTTGTTTACATGACCAGGACCAACCAATGAACCGTAAGTAACAACAACGCAACTGAATTTATTATACTTGCTTCTACAGTGATTTCTCCTACTATTGAAGTGGTTATCTTTCCTCGTGAATTAATTATTCTTGTTCTCAAAGTTATACTTCTTCCATCTAGAGCTGGGTTGTTCTACTTGCCTGTGGCAGGGATCCTCAAACTATTTTAGAACTGATGTAGTATCCTGTAGCGAACAAGTGCGCTATCGTCGAGCTATTACTGGCATGCTTTTGTCTTTTGAGAAAACCGGAACGGTCGGAGTCACAGACAGTTTAGTATGGACCTTTACATGAAGATATTAAAGAATCAAATAGATCCCTTACGGTTCTGTGAGATGAAACTGTTGAAAAGCACAAAACATTAAGCAAATCTTGATGATGCCGGAAGGTACAAAATTCCAACTATGGACAGCGGTTGTGCCTGCAACTATTTGATCCAAGAAACGTACTGACTCAGACGAAGTCATACAATCACACTAAATCAGTAGTTGGTTTGCAATACCCAAAAAAATTCTATTGAGTGTGTTAAGAGTGTCTTCAGAGAAGCACGAAAATCCGATAAAACCTCGAACAGATGGAGCACTTCAACAGCGTGCTGATTAGAATATGTGCCAGATATTTCCTGTGATCTCAACATGACTTGATTGCTTCATATATGCTTCAGGGGACATGCAAAAACCAACCTCTTTTGAGGGGCAGTCTTTCGCTGGGGTAAACTTTTCAGGGAAAACAGATCCAGACATGTGGTTACCGGAGACTGCCAATCATTTCATCATTAAACTCATCAACTAAGTGAATCACACTATAGTATTTATACGTCTGGTTCTACTGCTGAAATTCGGTATTTATGCGAATCCGAACTTTTATCGTAGCTAGCATTCCTGGGGGAAATCAGCTTCTTCAAACGTACCTTATTCACCGAATATCCAGTGACCAAAATAAGCAAGATGTTCATTGTGACCAGCAGGAAACTGCACGCACTCAAAAGGGCGAATTCACGGGCGGCGTGACATTCGTCCTTGACATAGATGAATTTGTAATTTCTGATCCAAGGGTACCGACACTGTCGAATGACCGAGTCGTGAAAAATGTCCGTGGAATTCGTAGTCCAAATTACCTGTCAGTAGTCCAAAAAACTGAATTAACAGTACGAACGGAATCGGTCAGAGAGAACCATCTGAAAACCACATCAATGCATTTTATGTGAAATTCAGTGCTTATTCATTCGAAAACACCTACAAGAATTGGTCAAGTTCCATCAAAGGCAACCATATTGGGTGAACGCAAAACATATCAACAAGAACTAGGCGGTCATTAGTCTCAAACGAGGGAAAAATTTAAGATATTCAGAGTGAATGGACTTGCGAGCTGCAGCCAGATCAATGTAGTTTGGGTAGAGATGTTGACATACAAAGAGTAAAGATTCAAGCTTTCAATAAAGACCATCAATATAGTCATCAGCGAAAAACGGAAAATTCCACGAAAGCTACCTAGCCAGCCAAGCCTTGTGTATGGTGCAGGACAAAGCGCTAATTACTTCTCAATTGGATTAGGTTGGATAACGATTCAGAACTGAAAATCACACGTATGGTGTTAGCAATTTAAACACAAATTGTGAAGGATGGCATCAAGCTCGAATTCCTCCTTGCCAGTGTCTACAAACAAAGACAAATATCCGCCGCAGAGTATTCACCCGTTTCTGATTGATCTTAATGGGTCATGCCCCCAGATCCTATCAGGTGTGATGCAAGTAAATAAATTCTAAAAGCATCTTTTGGTCAATATGTGGCAAGCTTTAGCTAGGAAATTGTCCATTAAGGATCCAAGGAATTGCAATGAGATTACTGAATCTTTTGTTGAAAAATTAATTTTGTAGGCTTTCACAAATGTTTCTGCAAATTTCCATTATCTGGTACACTGGTGTCATATATTCTTCCAAAGGGGGATAAAAACCTTTTACTCCGCAATTTTCTTTCTATATGTGGAACACTTCGTTTGGTTTCAGAAGTATCTAAAGCAATCAGCCTGATTATTACTGTACTCACCTTTCTAACACGACCGAAGTACCTTGTTTTTCGAGGAGGTTGAGGATGGGTATTGTACTTTAAATCTATGCCTCCCCCCACCTGATAGAAACAAGTATATCCTATCGAAGGACCGAACGAGCCATTATAAATCAGATTTAAAAAGTGGTAGATACTGGTTGTGTCATCAGTAAGGTAGGTAGACAGGTCGCCAAGCGGTTACAAGCTGTTTACCTCAAAGCGACCCGTCTTCCCACCAGATACCTGTGAAAATGTAAAATGGGAAACCGGTAAACTTACATCCACCTCCGGCTTCTGTGTCAGGGCGAGTAGCGACAGTAAAAGAAGCTGACCCTGAAACAAGGGAGTGAGGGGTACAATTGGGTAATTTTTTGTTTTCGAGATGTTTTAGGTGTAATTCGCCGATCATTTCAATAGGTTATTTTAATATTGTATTGGGTCCTTTTTCACTGGGGAATTGAGGGACCTGAATGTAAGAAGAGACCAAGTTGGTGCTAGCACTTCATCAAGCCAAAGAAAAGTTCTATTATGTAGTCAATTTTAATAACTAACTGGAACTTTTGAGAGGATGGCAGGCACCTATTAGAGTGGATTCAAAACTCAACACTGACTCGTTAAAGTTCATAAACCAACCTAGCCTTTGAGAGTAAAGACGAAGGGTGAATGAAACGACTGCAGAAGAAAGGTGTAAATATTCCTATTCCTCAGAGTGTTTCTTTTGCAAGCCTGACGGTTCTAGTAGTGTATGTGGTGACCATAAACTGGTTGTGAATTTATTCGCATTGCTTGAAAAAGTACCCATTAACACGTATGCGGGGATCTATACACTACTCAGACACAAATTGAACAAGACTGCTCCTAGTCACGCTTAATCTCAGATCAAAGTCGACTGGTTGGTTATGGTCAACACATCGGAAGCTCAAAACGATGATGCTGGATTACATTTCTTACTAGGAATGGAAGTTCTTCCGAACACCGTTAGGTCGATGATATGGTTTATTGCTGGACATCAGTAGAGGCTATATCCAAAACTGCACATTCTTCGTGTTTGTGCTAACCAAGGTGAACATATTAAACTAGGAGGTCATCCTTCAAAGAACAGAAAAAAATAACGCCTGGTTTTGCCGATACTTATCCGGCTAAACGCAGTTACTTCGTCAATCAATGCTATCGTATTCAGTTTGGCGAGTGCCACGGAAACGAACCTTGTTTGTTTTGTGCCGTTTTTTCTTACTACTCAATGAACTATGCAACAGGCTGGGATATTACTTCAGCAATTGTTTCCTTTGAAAATACAGCTTCATACACAATGCCCTCAACCCAGTGTTGGGACAGTTTAGATCTGTGGACATTTGCCAGTCAACAAAAGCAATTCACTCGCTCTACCCGGATTTAATCACCATGCATTCACTACAGTTACTGGATCTGCTTTGAATGAATCATAATAATCGTAGTTCTCAGCAGAATGCCACAAAATATTCACACATTGAGCTAGCTGCCACATTTTTGTTCACCGATTGTTCGCAGAATGAGAGTAGAGAACAACCAATTAGAGACTGATGGCTCCAAACATTTGGTGTCTTGAGTGTGTCCAACTACTTGTGTGAGGTGGTTGAAACGAGTTATCTAAGTTTCAATTAATAGCCTGGAAGTAGAAATAGTACCAGGCAGATGACTTGGCGATTCTTAATGGAAATGAACTCTGGTAGAGGCGTGCAATGTCTTATCGCTCATATCGCTGAACAAAACAAGCGAAATTGTAAGTGAAAACCAACGTAGACATATGAAGCCTTTGGTTATTCCAATTATTCTATCTTATCATTTACGTCAGAAGCACCAAGACACCACTATGTACACGGATCTATTGAGCGCTTAGTGTTTCCAAACTCCGTTTTACTCAGTTGGGCGCCATTTAATGGACTGCAATGAATAGAAAGGTCCTAGGAATTCGTTTAGCTTTTTACTCTTCTTACACCAGAGCCCTAATTTGAGCAAACAAGCATAATTCAAAACTGCCTCGCCTTGCATCCGCAACTTCGTTGGTGAACCGTGTATACAGCCACACTCCCACTACAGAACCTGAGCTGAGCCATGATGATCCATGCCCAGTGTACTTATTCAACTGGCTCATGTGTATTGAGCCTCTGGAAAACTAATAGTAATCTTTCCTCGGAATGGATGGGAAGGCGGATCAGCTATTCGAAACCGTTGAATTCAGTTGGCTCCGTGGTAATCCTTCAGGTTGACAAAACTGAGTTAGCTTTGAACAGAGTCTCCAAATCATTCAGTCAGGGCAGATAAGGCACGGTGAGACGGGCAGTGCCTGACGGAAACTCTGGGCTGTTGAATTTCATTATCATGCTTTGTTACTAACAAGTTTTTAGTAGCGAGAACACGATGAGCCTAAAGCAGAGAAAAGTTGCAACTCAATTTACATCACACTGGACAGGCGCCAAATCAATACACTATTATTAACAAAGCTACGAAAAAGCGATGGTGCGGTCTGTCAATATTTCACTCAGTCCCAGCATTTGCGGGGCGTAAAACGGGGCTGGTGATAAAGCTGAACGAACCGGGATTGACGTGCGCCCGCTAGTGTCACGTGATCGGGACCATAGTAGCCAAGCCCATCAGTTCAAAGCCGTTTGTTGCACACAATGCTGCCTGGCGAACCTTGATTGACAGAGCCGTGCTGATCGAAAGAAACTTTGGATTCAATCACATAGCGGCACTCGGTAAGAAAATTTCGGATCAACTTGGTAGGCAGTAAGGGATTGATCACGGATAAAACACGGTTTGACCCTCAACCTTTACGAGACACTTTACCGATAACCGATTAGTCACTGATCTCAAAGAAATCCGAGTGGGCATTTGAAGAGTTACGTAGTTCACCTGGACGAAAAGCGAACTGCTATGATAAAAAGTGTAAAATTCGGCCCTATTACCCTTGGTTTCCAGGTTGGCGTTTCGTGTCATTGTGCAGACCAAAGTGGAAACAAATTCGAATTGTTTGACTCAGTTCCCATATATCAGTCCAAACCAGTTCTTTGCGACAACTCATGTAGTAACTCCCGTTTCAGTTACGCCTCGTCCCATGTGTTGTATTTATTTTCCCAAAAGACGGTAGTATTTTGGACGGGTGCTAAAAACACTTGAGTAATTTTCGAATTGCGTTTGAAACACTGCGTACCGTTATCCAAAGACCCTGATGAATTCCATATTCTGAAAGCGAATATGAACATTTTGGGCTCCAGAATATTCAGCGTAAGAACAAACGGAAATGAAGTAGAGAAAAAGTCTGCACAAGGCTTGCACGCCCGATGAATCACAAAGTTTCCGAGTCTCGAATGAAGTACTAAGGAGAATGAAACGTCCACAAGTTACACAACCGTGATGAACCCCGACTCCTCCATCACGCCTGGTCCATCTTTCTCACATAAATTATGCCTTAGTGTGGCCGATGTTTCTTGATGCATGAAAATAGATCTCAACTTTGGATGAAAAAACCCGAGGACTATGATGTCACCTGAACAACACCTAGTTCCACCCAATGTTTGCAGTCACCAAGTTGTTTTCTGGTCCCAGTGGTCTTTTTTAGCTTTTCTAGCTGGTGTTGGTAAAGCTTGGGCATCCCTATTGATAAGTTTCACCTAGGCCAAGCTAATGTTCTTCAGTTTGGTACAATGAATTTGTTGATTTTGCTCAATGCATATTCAATCAACGCTGCCGGATACTGACCGATAGTGGTTCTATATTCCGCCTACGTGCGAAATACTTTGCGAGCTCGGATTTACATACCTAACCTACTTTGGAAGCCTGTGAGTAGGTAGAAAAATATGGTTATGGATGACTATAGACCATACTTAAGGAATACTTAAATATGCAAAGTCGTCTCATGTATGAACACACTTTGCATTCAGCGATTGTTCTGAAGTGCATTCTAGCTCGTGTCTGCGTCACTTGTTGTCCTATTCAGTGTTTTTTCCTACACAAGTAATGGTAGTTGGGACGATACTACTGAAAAATGCTGTGAATTTCCCGCAAAGTCTAACATGAAGCTCAGGGGTTAGAAATATTCCATACGTGTTAACCGATGCACACCATCCTCTTGGATTCCGACAACTGTTACCAATCTTGATGATTTATTGTCTGCCGTTTTAGTGCACTATGTACTTAAGATTCCGTAACTACGAGATACGGAGAGTGAAGGGGTGAAATGCACTCTCCTCTGGTTCGATTGCGTGGAAATCCACATGACCCCTCCCGTAAAGACAAAAATAAGCAGGTTAAATGCTTTCAATCAAGATTTTTTCCTGGAAATGAGGTCAACCTATGGTAAAAAGCTGAGGAGCACTGTACAGCTGTTTCATCCATGTTGACAATCATTAGCACTGCGCACCTCGCCAAACTCTAGGGCGATTCGAACCCGTAAGGTCCGACTAATAGTTGAATACTAAACTGCGCGACCACGCGCGGCTGATCAGCGGTTACTTAGCCAGGACATTCATTACAAGATCTACATGACATGGCGACGTGTTATTCTCAAATGTTACTCAAATGGCGCTTTCTCGGCTGAAGACAATCATTAGCACTGCGCACCTCGCCAAACTCTAGGGCGATTCGAACCCGTAAGGTCCGACTAATAGTTGAATACTAAACTGCGCGACCACGCGCGGCTGATCAGCGGTTACTTAGCCAGGACATTCATTACAAGATCTACATGACATGGCGACGTGTTATTCTCAAATGTTACTCAAATGGCGCTTTCTCGGCTGAAATGTTCACGCAAGTGTTCCCTGTTTTTTTTCCTTCTGAGCTACTTACGGTTTGTTGCTTTCGTTTCCGTATGTCATAATATTCAATTTCATCTTTTCAGTGAGTTAATAAAACAGCTATCGGTTCTGGTGAGACCATATGGTTCGAAAGCAACAAACGTCGTTTCGGTTCAGGGGCTAACTCACCATTTCAAGCCTGATTCATCAATTTGCTTGTATCAATGGCTTTCAGATACACAAGCCAAACAACACGGGGTTTCGTAATACGAATCTTACATCATAACTCAAAACCCTTTCAAGAAAAGCGTGATACATAAATTCATGTTATACACTGGTCAGGTCTTAGATTTCCTCGGTCACTTTGGCACCGTTTTTGTTCCAAAACAAAAGCGCATGTTTCCGACCACAGAATCCACCGCTTCCAGTTGACTCACCCTTGCTAAAGTCTGCTAGAATCCTCACTCACTCCTCATTTTTACCATGTTTAGTAACCTATCGTCTAGTCTCACTTCATTCTACGCCTTACATGTATAGTATACTTGCCCTGCTTTAGTCCAGAAACCCAAAAAATTTGATTTTCACATCTGCAATCCCAACTAATCGTTCGTCGATTCAACCCTCTATTTTGAACCCGCGCGACCGTTCCTCACCGACCGTGTCTACCAATAAACTGCCCCACGTGACACGAACAACTGAACCTTCACTACCAACTTCTATCTTATGTGTTTGTAGCCAATAGTACACGAGTGAAATGTCATTGCGCAACACATCTTACTCCACGTGGTCACGTATTGGTTGGACCGTTAAGTGACACCTTCTCAAAAGGAGTTTTCACACATTCGGTGAACTTATGCATTTTTCTGAGATGCTTAATGTTTCATGGCAATGTGAGAATATTTGGTAATATTCAATAGAGGTTTCATTCTGTCAGTGAGGCCAACTTATTGCACTGTACAGCTGTTTCATCCTTTTAGGAATCCTTAGCGGTGTGCATCTGACAAAACTCGGAGTTTCTAAACCGCGATCTCCGGCCAGTGATTGAACACGTAACTGGTTGGCCACGAGTCGCTGGTCAGCAGTGTGAACAACTCTCACTTAGACAGGACACAGCGCTACTTATCCTTCAATAACGGAAACCACATCGCGTGGCTCCTCGAGTGCTGAATTCTCCTATATATTGTCACAAATTTCGTCTTTGTCGCCTTTATGCTGTTCCTGAAAAACAGAACTAACCCGTTTATCAAATGAGAAAGGCCAAAGGTCACCCACACGTCTGGTCCAATGGAACCAACTCAGAACGTCCCAACCGATGAACTGAGAGTCCAGATTACTGATAACAGTCATCAGGGATGATACACATATTGTCTTGAGTGATTTTCGCAAAAATTATATCTAAAAGTTCCAAGGGGTTGGAAGTGTGAAGTATCCTAATCCGGTCAACACAGGGGACTGCAAAATATGAGGTAAGTCTGGGTGACATGGAAGATATTGTAAACAGTTACTAAAACTGTCATTATATCACCTATGTAACTCATGCAATAAGTTCTGACTAACGAGCATACAAAACAAATGTTCAGTTTATATCGCCAAAAAACCTACTGCACTTAGAGTGGAAGAACACTTCGGAAGAACAGTGACTGCCGCTTGTGCATTGCCTGAGTAATACAATCGAATTTTTGGCCAATTCGGAAAGAAATTTAGATCAAGAAATGCCTCAAAAGAGGTAAAAGATGATGGGTTCAATGATAACTCGACCATTCTGACTGAATTCTCTCTGGACAGGAAAAATAATATTCATGAAACCTTCGCAACCGGGTTTCAACACGCCTAATCTTATTTTATAGCCATAATCCAGGATTTATTGCATTTAAGGACTTGGGAGCACAGAAGATAAGTGAGAGAGCAAACAGACTTACAGAGTTCACAGCTGGAGGTAGTAGGGATAATGAGATCGCATTTCCGATCAACGCAGCGACCCGCTTACTCAGGGTTGCGAATGCGACACTGACGCCGGAAAAACTGGCGACCAGCATGGAGGCGATGAATGAATCGGCTTGACCCCTGCGGTGAACATCGAGTATGGGGGACGCAAGTGGGATAGTTTCGTGAAGTCCCGTACAGACTACGTCACATGAACTTATCGACAGAATGGTTTCAAATTGATGAGGCATATTGTCTCACAATAGGGGTAAATTAAAAAATGCACTGATGAATCGCCTCATCTTCACGACTGTAAGCTCCTGGAAAACCCCTATCTATGGAAATGACAAGAGAACCCATCGTCCTCCGCGTGCAAACAGATGCACAAATTTTTCAATGTAGGCTGACTGTACCTTTGCACAGAACTTGAACGTCCAGGTCATTGATAAGCTGTTTGTCAGCTTTTCTTTGGAGATGGGCCCCCAAATGTTTGATCACCATTAAGGAAGATATAACCAGCAGTACTACATTGTTTCACGATCTAAGTTCGAAAATCCTTCATAACGTTCAAAGTGATTCAGACCTCATAAGATGGTCTGTCTGCTTCAGGACCCGAGGGTCAAACGGAATAGTATCACTATACGTATTACTATAGTGTAGTATAGTGTAGTAAAGTATAGTATCACTATTTCTCAAGCTATTCATCAATTCCCTTCATTATCCGACCGGAAGGTCCGTGGTTCGAATCCGACCTCCGCCACTCGACTTCCCCAGTCTAGGCTTGGGTAACCTGGCAGTATCCCAGCCCCCGTGCTTCCTTCGGGTGGCATGGCAACTAGGCACCGGAAGGGTGCTACAGCTGAACGCTTCTTCTCCGAGTAACATTTGTCCAGAGTAGCACCATACTGATGGGAAATGAAGTCACCGATTCAACCTAACCTCAAATGACAAAAATACATAGTATTGTTCCCCTCACTCAACCGTTTCACCATTACGACCATCATGAATATACATTCCTTAACTAAATTACGCTAAAAAATGGTCGTTGGGCTTGTTCGCTGAGCTGGGCCAAGCCAACGACCATCTTTGCTATCTGAGCTACCAACAGCTTCCTCTATGGAAAACGCTACGAAATGCTCCTTCATTCATTCTTTTATGCAGCACTCTACTGACGAAAGTAGCCTGTTAACGAAAACTTCCTCTTGTTTTGGAAACACAACTGGGCTTTTTAAAAGCCATGGAAAGTGATCGTTGAAAGCTCAAGTTCGTAGTGGTTGTGCATTCTCAAGGCTCCTTGCATAATTTCCCAAACCAGTAGGAAATTGCATTAAAAGTGGACCTTACAGAGAAGGCACCATTAGTACCAACCTGGTGTCAAACAGATTAAACTGTGTGGGCACAAAATAGTCAGCTTTTCAGTTGTGAATTTGAGCACAAGTGCCTCAAGCATGAATTGTCCAACATTGGCCTCTGAGAAGATCAAATAATATATACTTGTATAGAGGTGAAATGTGTTAAGAAAAGGTTTCGAAACTTACCTCATTTTCATTTCGCCCGTAGGATAGGGTGTGATTCTCTCAAAATTACTAACGTTGTGCGCAATATAGCCGAAAGATAATCCTGTGGAAGATAACAACAGTAGTGCAATACTCCGCAAAAATTCCTATCGGTTTGACTCCAAATGGCCCATCAACAAACTGACAAATGGGTTACTTGCAAATGGCCCAACATGATCTCCACTATCCACTCATTAATCAACCACTTCTGTCATGGCGAAAACACGGACGGTTTTGTATGCGGATAAGTCATGGACCCTGTGTATCCTATGGGAAACACAGTTTGCATAATTCGCCTAATTTCCGCAGTAGTCGGCACTCTGACGGCACGATCTGTCTCCCACATGTAGATGTTGGCAACAACAGAAAAACCCTTCTGATACTGATACCGAGTTCGGTTGAAACGCGGTATATTAAGGATTTTACTACTCGTTATCCATTTCGATCCTTCATAGTTTTCTTCTAAACTTGATTGAATCTAAGCAATCCAAGAAGTCTTCAAGCCTCATTGCCATTAGTCAGTTGCAGGTATCAGAAAGCGGGTAAGTAATCATTGGTCTCGTTATTTATCGTGAAGGTGAAATACGATAATTCCCGACCACCATCGATTCCACGAGAAAGGACGCTTTTCGGTAACAAAGCGATGGTGATCCCAGTAGGAACGAAAAGCGTGATGACCTGCATGAAAGCGTGCTTAAAATGTAATCTGGATACCAGACTTTGATCAGTTTTTCTTTAGAAACACAGTGTTAGATTTGGAAGTTACTGGACGCTGAATCGTCAAAATCCATATTTTACACCAAGGTGTGTTGTGGTTGAAGTCTATTCTAACAAATTCAGAGACTTTGTCTATTACTTTCAGCCTACCAATGAGTGCGGCTATTGCCCATTTTTGGGGTAGAGTCGAAAAATACGGTATCCTTGCATTAAAATATTAATCTCACATGGTTAGCTTGTTGAAATCCTGCCACAAAGTAAAATTAGCAACCAGAGGGCACAACTCAATCAGACGCGTCGAGCGAGGTTAAAAATATAAGGGCGAAAAGGACACGAAGTAACCTAATCAGTAGTACAGCAGGAACTGTTCTCCCAAGAATTTGTGTGATTCGCATTCACATCACTCTTGTCTAAACAGTTTTACTGTCCTGGCGCAATTATTTCGCTGAGTCAGTAATAAACAGGGGAAGCACTGAACTCAAGTTTCGTTCTTATTGGAGCTCATCAGCAGTTCCTGTCATTGGTCGTGCAAGGGTTTCAACCGCAGACATCTGACGTGCGAGGCGAGCGTATTGCCACTGGTCGATCGGCACACGCTGGATGATTCAGATGCGTCCAGGGTGCACTGATGGATAAGTGGTAACACACTCGCCTCGAATATCAGATGTTCAATATTCAAACCCCGACACAACCATGGATATGCATTACTGATGAACTTCAAGAATGACACTCAAGTTCAGTGCTTCTTCCGTTCGATTTTCACTCACTAGAACAGTTGCACCAGGACAGGAGAGGAACTGTTCAGAGAGAGTGGAATGAAAGCTAATAATGATGCTGTTTGAGATGGACCGCACGTGGAACAAAAAACACGAATCAGTAGACTACTGCATCCAGATAAGTATGATCTCCATGTTGCAACAGGTGATTAAAACCAAAGTGCAACATTGAGCAAACTTGTGGTTGCTTTGCTTACGTGCCATCTATAAAGCCAGTCGACTGTACCAATATACCTTATGACATTTTAGTGCGTGTCCAATTGTCAGGTTTATTTAAATATAGGAATAATGGTAGGCCTGTCGTAATGCGGACAAAGGAATATGTAAGTGAATAAACGTCATTGGCCATCCACTCAGTAAACGAAACAAATGGTAACTTGGGAGGATTTGGACTACAAGCATATGAAACTGAACTGTCTGAAAATTTGTCCATTCACAAATCTCTGGTTGGCGTTCCAGTATAAAGCTATTGAGCCAAACCTTTCTGTTCTGTAGAGCTCTCAATCCTTTGTGGAGAGATTATGCTAACTAGCTGTTCCGAAAAGGGGAAGGGTTGGACTGTTTTCGTGAGTCTCTCGAAAAAACCAAATTAGTTTGCAAATGAGTGTATTTCGCCAATTTCGTGCAAATTGGCTTCAAGTGGAACATGTTGACGGAAACTCGGGGACTGCGCCTATCTGATGAACCCCAAGAAGGGCGAAACTGGTCGTGGGCTGTCGACGGATTTTCAGCAACCTTATGAGTAGTACATTACAAAGATATACATGTATCGCGATATCTCGAACATCGTAGCGACTGAAACATGGGGCGGCCTAGTGCAATACATTCAGTTGCCTCACAAACGAGGGATTCAGTTGGGTTTCAGGCGAGTCTCTCAAAAACCCAAAGTAGTTTGCAAATGAGTGTATTTCGCTGTTTTCGTTTTTGTTTGAGCTCAAAAACAGTGAAAATTCTTATTCGAGTAGTGCGCGTCACTGATACTCCAACCCACGCTGAACGAATAGGATTCATCACGTCAGAACTGGTATGCGTGTTTACGTTCGACCGACGCAATTGGAATTTTACTTGTCAGCTTCCTGGTTGAAAGGGAGTAGAATAACGCTTTGATGTTTCATCTTACAGCTTCGAATTCATTCTTAACCCTCACAGATAAGATTTTAAGATCTGAAAGGTTTCGACTCCAAACCTGGCCCAAACATACGTCCCCTATCAATTACAGAAATCTAGTTCGAGTCAATGAGCTACCAGGAATCATCCAGGAATCCCTACGGAGATGTCTTTACGATTTCCTCGAGTAAAATCATCATCATCATTGTCAGCTGTAATAACCACGTACTCGTCGTACTGTGGTTGTAGCTGCCACAGTTTCGTTCACCGATGGTTTGGTGGGAGGGGTAGGTAGCTGCAAGTTGCAGGCGGGAGCTGATAAATTGGTGCATAAATCCAGCACTGTCAGTGGGCTGTCAAGTGGTGAGGGGGTTGGAAAAGAAGCTGTGCATTGAAGGCAATAGCTTGGATGCACGAGCGCCATTGAGGGCGCGACTGGGCCATATCTGACAATGTCTCTAGCCATTGATGTGGCCCGTCTCGGGGTCCCCATCCAGGAAGACGGCAATGACCAGCGCAGCTAAGTTTGCTGGTAATGGCTTTCATACTTCGCTGCCAAGTCATTGGTTGACCGCCTCTGACTCTCTTCCACCTTTCACGTGGTTGTGCGAAAAGAGCCCTTCGAGAATACCATTCGACGTACTTCAGAATTGCTGATCCGGTGTTCCCACCAGATTCGGGCAATGCTCCGAAGACATCGATGGTCAAACACTGACAGTCTTTTGACGTCCTCGGCGCGCAGCGGCCAGGTTTCTGACCGATATAGTAATATGGAGCGCACCGCAGCATTATAAACTCGACCCTTGACAGAGAAGCTAAGTAAAATGCCGATGTGACGTTCTCAACTTCGTTCGATGTCACAGAGAAGCCTACAGACCTATCTTCTTCCACTCTACGTTGCAGGCTAACGCCATGGATACACGAACTCCAGTGCTCAAATGCAAAAACACAATATGATGAGCGTACATTCACATCTAACTACATGGTCGATGCCAGTCGATGCTCCGTTGCCAAGACTCGCTTGAAATGAAAGATGAATTTGTACAATACCATCATCAATAACGTCAAATGATGAATGAGCTGGCCTGTTTTCCCAATTATCCCAAGAAATGCCCGTCCGTAAAGTGTCAACCTAATTGGACGGTTAACAGGTTGAACATCGACCGATTGAGGCAGGTGTCTAAAATCACCACAATGGCTGCCGCTGACGCTGACTTCCACGCCAACCACTAGAGGAAACAAGCACACTATTGTTGTAGTTTGATCGATCGATTGGTATGTGCGAAGAGGGAAACGTCCTGCACAACTGTGACCAAGTCGAGCAGCAACCTAATTGGGTAGTGTGTGTACATTACGGTTGAATTGAGATTTTCTAGTTTTAAATATTCTGTTGATTTTGATCAGAATGAACTTTTCTGGTCGGTGACACATTAAGGAGGACTAACGCAGAATGTTAGCTAGAACTGTCCACGGGCAACAAGAAGCAGTGACGGTAAATAGAACCATCAAAATCTTCACGAAGACGAACTAATGTGTGTACTTGGCTGTATACTATCAGTAGGAAACTACTTTCTTGATACTTAGTTTCTTCTTGGATAGCACAATGGGCTTTCTATTGCAAAGATCGAGGGGTATAACCTCAAACAGATTCGATATCCTACTATATAGAAAGCACTGAACAGTTTGCTTTTTGGATATCTGACAAACTTGGTATCAAATTTCTTGATAGGCAATGAAAACTCAGTTGGTCATGCTGATTGTTATCGAATCTCCCAGAGCTTTGAATGGCAAGTGGTTCGCCAGCCAAACTGTAAGAATGGTCCAGATTGCCAAGTAAGTGCAGGAAACTGCGGTAAATGTAGTTTCTGTCACTCTGCTTGAGTTCACATTTTCCTACTAATGAATGTGCAAATGAATACCACTGTTGGTATCAGGCATGAAGTAGGGGCAAAAAGAAACCCCACAGACTGGTTGCATAGTATTCACATGTGCGAAAATTAAAGTGCCCTTGTTGCATCTAGTTTGCTGCATGGATTGACACGGATCTTTTGCGCAGCAAAGTGACATTAGGTAACAAAATCATCAAGTGCAATTACTCCACAATGCTTTGTCTGGGTTTATGCTGTTGATGGAAACATTTTCGCTTCCTTAGCTTGGTTAATTACAGGGGAAGACTGTAAAAAAAAGGCGTTGTGGGTTACCTGAAACCGTTTAGACATTTTGTTTACTCAGTTCTTTAGAAAAATGAGAAATCCAGGTGTGTAAGTAGGCCATACATTTATTCTTTCCAAACCAACCCCTTAAAAAGGTGTAAGAGTCCGTTTTAGTGGTGTTCTGCTAGCTTCCACAGCACTGCTTGTTTGAAGACCTGTGGTTTTTTTTAGAGGCGGATAGATGGCTTACTGCTGTTCGGTTTAGTTGTGTGGTGCGGGTAATGCGTACTTGTCCAAAATTTCCACGACGGACAGCGAAATAAATCTGTCCAAAGACGTCTGAAAGTGGTTGAATAGAATCGAGGGCCAAGAAAACAAGGCAATAAAAACTTCGTCTCGCACAATTAAATGAGTCCAAGGTACTGAGAGGTTGGCAGTGCGCGCCCATATAAAACAATCGGTTCCACGCAAACTAGAATCATTGAATGTGTATTAATCACGCCACAGGTCTCCTCTAGCTATGTGAGGAGAACTAAATAAACAGCACACGGGGCTAAAACTAGCTGTGTATAGCACTGCTGAAAGCGATACAAGCCGCGATGAATTTCAATCATGGCTGTACACTGCACTTAACTCAGTACACCAGAATTAGTGCTGTTTACATTAGGAATTATTGGGAATTATTGGACAGCGTTCGCCGCTGTGCCTGACACATCGCGAGACTTATAGGCACCGGACTGGGTAATTTTCAACGTTGATAACCTTTCTTTAGCATACTAATCGATAAGCTATGGCGCGGCGCGTACTGAAAAGTAGTCACATGAGTATATTCGTTTCCATAATGTAAGTAAGTTGAAATCGTCGTCCAAATCTATCCCCTCCTACAACACAACCGTGTGACAATGCTGGCCAAAGTAACCCCGACCCACTTAAGTCTGTCAAAAGCTGTGCACCTCAAATGTATCAATTAACAGAATATGGCAGATTTTGAATGTCCAGATACCATAAAAGCACTGTGGCAGAGCGAACTGGTGCAGTGCGTCTTCTGACCTGAAATTAAGAGAACTTCGCCAGTCGACAAGCATCCAGCTACACTTTCCTAATGAATGCCTTTCTGGGAACGAGATCATCATCAAATATGAAGCACAGACCATTAGACTTTACAAATACATGGGTCACAGCATACCATTTGTGTGCTCCCCTAATGACGTACACAATCCACTAAAGAAATATGAGACTTCAAATACCGCAAAACAGTGTCCCACTGTAACAGGTCATCAGAAATTAGTAGAACAAGGAGAAAAATATGAGAACGATAACTGTAAATCAGCATTGATAACCACGTTGCACAGGTTTACCAGAAACGGTCTTCCCAGAAACAACGAGGGTTGGATCCGCCCCGCAAATCTATCCGTTTATAGAATAAACCAGATTTTGCTTGTTCTAATCCCATTAAATTGTCTTAGAATGTTCACTCTCAAATGTATCAAACCATGAAGTGTCATGTTCTCAATCGTACCGAAATTTCGCCGAACCACCAGATAAGAATAGTATAGAAAACAATATCACCAAAGACATCTGAACTTTAGTTTCTTTCATTATATTTGCTAGTTACGCCTGTAGTTTTAAATTGTTTTTTTGTTTTGTTGCCACAGTTTCAGTGAAATACATTGTAATCTTTCATTATATTTGCTAGTTACGCCTGTAGCTTTAACCTGTTTTTTTTTGTTGCCACAGTTTCAGTGAACTACATTGTAATAGAAAGCTTGTTTGCAACGGGGAAAACTAAAATATCTTATGAATGTTCTCCAAACACGGGGATCAATTAGCCATTGCTGATGTGTACTAGAATTTTCGCTTCTTTCCTCTACTTTCACCAACTTGCGCTGTTTCTGACGACAGAGGTGTATCCACCAAACTAGTTGTCAAACGTAAGTTAAAACTAACTTGTTGTGAGTAGCTGCATTTTCTTCAGGTATGCTGCCCATAGAGAAACCACCGAGAACTACGTTTTTCATATTGCTAGTAACCCATCTTGTCTACATTTTGATAGGTGCATGCTAAGGCCCACTTGCTTAAATATTCAAACTTATTAGGAACGTTTAACAACGCAATCGTTTGCCAGAATATCGAAATAGGACCATAAGACTCGCAATTCGGCATCTACTTCCACCCACGGTGCTTCAACTCCCAAAATTCCCCTATGAAGATAAGGTAGATTTACGTGGAGAACCTTGAGGTTACTAGCTAGAAAAGCCATGACACACATCGGGCAAAAGACAGAAAATAAAAAAGTCGACTATTTTGCCACATTGCCTCTCTTACTACATGATTATTAATAGATTCATAGCAATCGACAAACGGCTGCTGCACGTGGAATCTCAGCCTGTTTGCCCACGAGTGAGTGAATTAACTTTCTCAGAGTATCACAATCTTCGTCACCCAACAGGCGATGGGGCTGATACACTTGAGAATACGTTGTCCAGTTGTCCAACGGTATCTATTTCTATGCTACACAATATCATCTAAGGTGTGATGACAAGTTAAAAAGGAGCCATTATGGAGTTGCATTCTCCTCAATAGTCTTTTGAGAAAGAAGCACTTTTCAGGCTTATGCTCTTTGTGGATTTGATTGGTACGTAGATGTGAGTAGCATGGCTAACTTGTCTCGCCATTTGTTGTCTGGCCACAGATAAACTGTTGCTTTTTTATAGTTGCCGTCGAAGTTTGGGGTTCCAGTCAGCATTTAACTTGTTATGATGAAACCTCGATCGGGTTCATAGCCACTATCGGTCCAAGACACCTGATTTTCTGGCTTCAAACAAGTGCAGTAACTTGCATCCCAACTGGTTGATCTCATTAAGTCCCATTGGTGGACTGTAAAAGAGGAGAGAGGCGGTTTGGCCATTTCCGCGTAGTTTAATCGCTCAACCTTTCGACCACTGTCTTACACCAAACTGCAGAGCACAAGTAAAGCCGGTCGCTTCAAATTTAGCCGGAGCAATTGAGAGGTATTTAGAGTTGATGACGTTAAACTTTGCGAGGATTAAACAGCTACTTTCAGATTTTTATGACGGAGCATCAACTCAGAAAAGCCATAAATCAAGGGGTGACAGCCTTGCTCTTTGGGATGGATTGAATGAACTGCAAGTTTTTAATCTCGAACGCCGAAACGTATCGACAATTATCACAACTACTCTGTTCAAAGCGGTCGGCCAAAGATATCTGCACCAAGATCGCTGTAGAAGATCACACAGGTAGTACATATTCACTGTTGGAAAGATTTCACCAAACCAAGTGAAACCAACCAACCATTCTGGCTGGTGATGATCTCACGCATCTGTACTGTTACACAAACAAGTCACAGCCTTTCCTTGAAGGAAACTACTCACAACCACCATAAGCAGGGAATTCAGTCTGGATTCAGGCGAATCTTCCGCAAAATCGATTTGGTGTCCGAATGAGTGCAACAAATCCAGTCCTCCAAATCTATCAGAGTTCACTTGTCTGATGTTTATTAGCTTGCGTGCAAACTTATCGAAACATCACCACTGGTTTTGTGAAAGATGTTTGTCGGAGAAGAAATTAGATGCGCGCTTCTTAAACAGAACTGTGTGATGTAACACTTACTTATGCTGTCATGTGTCCGTAATGAGTTGCTCTTACTTTCGACAAATACACTCATTTGCAAATTAAGTTGACTTTCACAGGATACTAAAGTGAAACTCTCGTTTATGCTGTTCTTCAACTAAATATGCACAAAGGTCACCTCATGTTTCAGTTGGTACGATATTCGAGGCATCGCAGTATATTTTCATAAAAGAAAACTACTCATAAGTTTGTTGAAAAACTCTTCCACAGCCCATGACCGATTTCGCCTTTCTTGGGACTCATCAGGTAGGCGCCTACCTACAGCCGGTCGTGGGTTGCCGAAGAGTGTTCAGCAACCTTGTGAGTAGTTTCTTCTATGAGTTGCACTTAGCTTTTCGGCTGAGTTACATTGAGTTACATTGGTGCAGTGTGTAAAACGCTGTTGAGGTTACACAATTTCCTTGGTTTTTGTCCCCTCCCGTTTAAAGTAAAACATTCAAATCACCCGAATAGTCTTTTCGGTGATTTTTCGATCACTTTTGACTTTCTGTGCACATACTTCTTGTAACATGTTGCGAAACCTTAATTAATTTATCCAATAAGTGTGCCTGAGCGAGAAAAAAACATGAGCGATCTCAACCATTAATCCTTCAAAGTCACAAGTGAATGCACTATGAAATGAGTTATTTTAACAAGCTGAGAAAAATATCATTTTATTGGGTCCAACGGTTAGACAGAATGAGAAGCCTCATTATCGGCTATGACTAGAGATATTATATGTGCCCACAATCATATCGCTGTTAGCACCATATGAACTGAAGTGTATTCTAATTGACCGTCAATTTCAGCAAAAATTTCATCGCAAAAGGCACCAATTAAGTCATTATCAAGAAATCTGTACGGTAACTGCTAGTAGAGGTCGATGAGGACCATAAATAAATAGATCAAAGTATCTCTACCACCAAACAGTTGCCTCGATTTGCATTTTATGGTTAGGTCGCAAAAAATGATTCACGCTTCTACGCATTTGAAACGGATAAACACGTGGAAAACGCCATAAATGACAAGAATAAATATGGATCGGTGTCAAATCAGCAGAAATTCTTATTCAACCATCTCATCCAACCGTGAATGTCAAAAGATGCGGCCGCGGTGATATTGATGACAGTTCGCTTTTGGTATCGATTGGTATCGATTACGGGATTTAAAGGAGACAATTTCACTAAGGTTTTTAAGGGTTACAATTTCGTTTCTAAATTATATAAACGTTGTAAGGTTATTACCGAACCGGAAATACACGGTGGACTTCTATGCGAACGCAGTAAATGATTATCTTTTTCAGCTGAAGATCGAGTGGCAAAAAGTCTAATCTCAAGGCTGCATGATCCAAGATGTAATTGCTTCTACTCCAGATACAGAGCTTGAAATCTATTCAAAAATTTACTGCATAATGGCTAGGTTTGATAATCTGGATGAATCGGTGGTGGATGCATTGTGCAATTTGAAAAGCGACGGAAAATCTCATTGGTGCGTAGTACAGGATGACACATATCGTGCGTGCTCATATTAATCTAGTTTGCCTTTACCCATATAGTTTTAAAAAAACTAACTCGTTTCGATTCAGGAAAAAAAGGTTTGGTAGAAGAACCAATCAGTAAGTCCTCTTCAAACTAGATCAGTGTTGAGTGTGAATTAACGGCTCTTGTCGGCTAGTGTGGGTGCCAAAATCTTGAATTGATAGGTTGGAGAGTTCCAAATTAGTTCCGATCGCTTTTCGTTCCTTAATCTTCCGATTCAGGGTGCTTCACTTGATGATTCACCTCGAGTGCCGCTGTTAGATTTTTCCTGGTCTTTGGGGTTGTGAGTGCTCCGACAATTTAGTTTGAGGGGTTGAGGTCAAGTGGATTTTGGATGATAACCGCCAGTTTGGTGACCTGTTCACTTGGCCTGCTGAAACCTTTGCGTCAAAAGCGAAACGTTGCCCAAATAAAAACTACCGACTGTTTACCAAGCTCTTCTGAAACGAAGCTTTGGGAGAAATTTATTGGGAGCGGGAAAAATTAAAGCAGGTGACGTATATGGTGTCTCGTGTAGTGTATAAAAACCAAAGAAACAACAAACTTTCGCCACAGTAACCGACTTCTGATCTCTAATAAGAGTTAACTGTATTGAATTCAAACAATAAAGTTTCAACCCAATGAAAAGTGAGTTTGCTACTGGATGTTAGTAGTATGATCATGCTAGATAGTATCGTCCCAACTAGACAGACCGGGCAGTTGAGGCAAAACGAGGCAGTCCTACAGGTGGTCAGAAAACTTCATATTTCAATAATTCGGTCCAGTCACAATTCTGTCAACTGCATTTCCCACGCATGACCAACTGAGAGAGGGTGGGAAGAATAAGGAGAGAATATGATACTATCGACCAAACATGCTGAACTAGAGGGCCTCCAGCTGCATTGCCCAGTTGATGGTTACGATGTAAACTAGGTTACCGTGGATATTCTAGCTGTAATTCCAAACTGCTCAGTGACCTCAAACAAGAATTCAAATATCAATTTCGAATCGTTCGACCGGTCGTAAGAGCCGCTGGCCAAACACAGACGAGTTGGGTACACAAAGTTCATGATTGTAGACGTGAGGGCGGTTCGTCTACCCAACCGCTGTTAGAAGCACCAACGAATTCTTGAACTGGACACTAGGAGACAGACACATCAGAAACTATTCGCCAGGTGAGTGAATGCTACCGGCTTTATCACAATTCTCACTACGGTCGTGTTGACACCAGCAAGAGAATCATCTGGACGGTCATCTACTGCTACAGGGAACCGAATTCGGAATCTGAAATTCTAATTATGCTGAAAATAATCATCGTGCATAGGGACTCGAAAAGTGGTCTAACCGCGTTGACTGAATAACAAGTTCAGTTTGCACTTACCTAGTAATACACAAAATAGCAGTGAGATGGCCGTGTTACGAGCACCGGTCCTTAACATGTGTGGTTCACGTAGAGTCAGTCCAAAGAGGATACACATAATTGGATCCTGCAGTGAGATACGGTGAAACAAAAACAGAAACTGGTATTGTGACTGGATTTCCAATAGTCTTTAAGGTGAAATCGACCAAAATCTGGTTGAGCAATCACGGACTGAACTTATCTGATGAGATCCAAGAAGGGCAATACCAGTTGTGGGCTGCCGAAGGGTTTTCAGCAACCTTATGAGTAGTGCGGTACGTCTAGACAGTTGGGTTTTGCACCCATTATATTCTATTGTGTGACTGACTATATATCCTACAAAAGTACAGGGCTTTTAGTGTCTTTCACGCAAACTTTCTGCTGAGTCTGTCATTTGTATGTTGCCTTCGTTGAGGTAGCGCATGGAAAGTCATGAAACCCAAGTCAGTGCCACCGAACAAAACAGGTAGATGTGTGGTTTTCAGGTCGTGAATCATGTAAGCTACTACTATGGGAAACATTTTTAGCTGGATGTGGAATGAACAAAATGCATAAGCCATCCACAGTTAACCTTCGGAGTGAATCTCGAGATGGACCAATGGTTTCCGGCGCGAATATACTGACCGAAGGTCCGTAGGTCCGTAGTTCGAACCCGAGCGCTGCCTCTCGACTTCCCCTGTCCAGGCTTTGACAACCTGGCAGTATCCCAGCCCTCGTGCAACCTTCGGGTGGCATGGCAGTTAGGCACCGGAAGGGTGCTACAGCTGAACGATAGTATAGTTCGAAGTGGATAGTAGAAGGCCTCCTGTGTCGGAAAACCTTCAAAAAATGCATAGATCCAGAGAAAAGAAGCAAAAGGTTTTCACCATACCGACATTGGTTGACGACCTTTATATAATTAATGGAAACAATATGGAAGATAATAGTTAAGAAGGGCCTTCTACAGAGTCATCCTCTCTGTTCATCTCCACACCTTTCCTCTTTGACCACATAAACCTCGTTTCCGTACCGGTTGACCTTGGTATTAGATAATATGGCATAAGCAAACGCCGCAGGTTGAAAAACAGACTACTTTTTCAGCATACTTTCATACCGTGTGCCACGTGAGAATTTAACCCCACACACTTTTATTCAGTATCCTGCGATGGAAATCGTTGGTGATTTGCAATGCAAATTTAACTGACACCGGACAGCCTTGCTTCTAGTGTTACGACATTCAACGCATCATATCAGCCATTACGTCATAACCCAGTCAGAAACGAATGGTGGTTGGTTGGCTCAAATGCGGCACCTACGGTTTCCAGTCGTTCTTAAACTCACCATCAGTGGGGACAACAGCATACTGGCGAAAACCACTCCAGCCGAATTGGTAACCAAGGCGATGTCAGCAACAACAGCTGCGCAGATCAGGTTACAAAGGTAGTTCATATCAAACCTCCCGCGTTGCTTGATTTCGTTGTATACCTGGTTCGAATGAAAATTATGAAGTTAGTGTCTGCTTACGAGCTACCATCAGGTCTCAGGAAGAAACCGCCAATCATTCGTATGTATAAGAAAAGTAGGGAAAATTCCTATAATCTACAGGAGCGACACCATGTCTATTTATGGCATCAGAAAGGCTGTATGGGAAATAAGTTTTCATAATCTTTAGAAACCTTCTGAGAAGAAGATTTATGTCGAGCGGTGCAGCTGTTATTCCTATCTGGCGTGGTGAAATTATAGGTAGGATAATTGATTGCCACTAAAAGGCGTGGGGACTAAAAATAGCCAGGCGGCTAGAATGCGAGGCTTGCCAATAAACCGATACCCAAAATGTTTTCAGTATGAGCTACTCTAGTGCGACTTTGGCGATCTATCATCCTATTTTTAATGTAATTTTTCCCTTGAAAACACACCAGAAAAATGTAGATTCTCTACGGAAGGCATCCTTAACAAAGTTTTTGGTTTCTTGATCATTGAAAACATGTTTGAACCTCTCTTCAGTTAAAAAAACACATAAGGTTGCTGAAAACTCTTGGACAACTCAAGACCGGTTTCATATCGTAAACGAGAGATTCAGTCGGGTCTCTCGTGAAAACCAAATTGATTTGCAAATGAATGTATTCCTCGAAAACAGTCCAATTTGGTTCAAGTAGAACTCTATCATCCTATTTTTAATGTAATTTTTCCCTTGAAAACACACCAGAAAAATGTAGATTCTCTACGGAAGGCATCCTTAACAAAGTTTTTGGTTTCTTGATCATTGAAAACATGTTTGAACCTCTCTTCAGTTAAAAAAACACATAAGGTTGCTGAAAACTCTTGGACAACTCAAGACCGGTTTCATATCGTAAACGAGAGATTCAGTCGGGTCTCTCGTGAAAACCAAATTGATTTGCAGATTGGTGTATTTCATAAAAAAACTGAGTTTGAAAGTTAAACTATTTAGTGTATTAAATGGGATACAGGAGATTTATGTCTAATCCAATTAGATTAGGTTTTTTGTCCACAGCAGAGTGCCAGGTTAGCTTTTGATTCTGTCTTCCCCCATATTCGCTCTATCCTCTTAACTATGAGTATTCAGGTATCCTAAAACAGCATCACTAATTTTTGGTGCCTTAGCTCTGTTGTCCTCGCCGAACTGATGGGATTACTGCTCGGATGAATTTACATACAACTAATATGTACACTTGTGTTTTGCAGAATGTGCCTGAATGTATATATATCAAATGGAATTTTTTTACTGAATATCTCGTGCGATTCAATGAGACCAGTCGAAGTAATTTAAATTTTCTCTTCTGGTATAAGAGTAATGATTCTCCGACCCCTCGCGTTGGTTCAGTTATGCATACAATTTAAAGACGATTACACGAAATTGGGAGTTTTTGCTTCCGATTACTGTCATAAGATAGGTAATTTGAGTTATTTGCTTTGTGGGGCATAGTTTTAGGTAGGAAGAAACACCAGTAATGGAATATGTGGGAAAATTTGGGCCACAATATCCCACCTTTATATTCAATGCAGCTCTCTCCTGAAAGTACGGATTTGCCTTCCTTGGATGTTTCCGCAGGAATCTCTCAAAATGTTTGGAGACTAGCTTTTCGGATAGATTCGTAGCGGGATAGTCTAAATAGAGTTTATAGAGTTAACGTAGTTCTTCCTGCAGTTCGTGTGGACGTTTTGAACGCCAGATTCCGCGCCACATATCTTTATAGACATTTGCCACACTGCAGTTGGAATCTTGGCTTGGAATAGAGTGAGTGAAATTCACGATGAGTTCATCTAATCCTGAGGGTGTTCTACACGTAATCCAGCCGAAGTAATGATGTATGCGTGTAACATTAAAGGTTTCGTAAGAGAAGCTCAGATTGGAAACACACTGTTAACTCGTTTTGCGCCAAATGGTACACATCTGCCTTTCCACTGTATCTAGTTTTCCGCCCTTCTGATGATAGTCAGTCCATTCCGTTCACCGTTTTGCCCGGTTAGATAAGAATAACACCTGTGTGGACAAATAAAAGATCGAAAGATCGCGTGCCAATATATGCGTGCTTAGAGCAGCTTGTTTACTAGGAGACATCGGAAACTGAGTGTTTGCTAAGACGGCGGTTCAGATAGCATAAGAGAGCAGCAAGCAATATTTTACCGTTAAAGCTAAGCTATCCGCGACCTAACCACATATATTATAAAGTGCATTATAAAACTGAGAATCACTTACCAAGTGTTTCTGTTCCTTTGGTTAAAGTTTACCTTTTGAGTAGTCCCCTGTTTTAGTTGATTTCGTTTATTTTTAACAATTTTTATTAGCCATCCGTACTCTAAAGTGGTGAGAGGATCGTAAATTCCTGCCTTACGTTTCTTGTAGTCTAGTCAAACAGCGAAGAATGTTACCACACGAATCAGAATTGTTCAAGTCGCACCTTCTGGGTACACCTGAACACTCAAGTGACTAGCTTTACGGGCATAGGCTGTGGCAAATGCGAGACATGATCGACTGACGCTCGGGGATCTAGTTCACCTGACTCACGGAAGTGCATAGGCTACGGTTGAATTCTGAACTTATCTTAATCTCTAGTCTGAGTGAATGAGAGCACAATGTTGATCGATGCACGGGCGACTTGCCACGTGACCAATCGCCTTCGTTCCCGAACGCACGAGAACGATACAGTGGTCAGTCAAAATGAATTGGAATTTCCGAATAATTTTGCTACGACATTTACCGACTTTGCCAAATGCTTGAAAACTTCCGCCAGTGTTCTGTAACATTTTGTGAACTTTTGAATAATCTTTCTAAAAGTTTGAAACAACTAGGGAAGATTCTAGATTCGTTGTTTATATGTGACATCTTCATGAATAGGTTGAGCTGCTCGAGATTTCAGGTCTACCAAACAGAAATTATTAATAATGGAACATGTCAATGAACAGGAGAGGTAATTGTTGGTACTGTGAGGAGAGTTTGGAATATTTTATTGGAAATTTCATCCTTCAGGTGAAACGGGTCCATGATGAACGCCGACTAACACTCTACAGTTACTTCATACTGATTGGGAATCATCAGCAAAGCGTATCTCACAAAACTCTGGATGGTCGCGAACCAGCATAGTGGTTTAAACGACCTACATTATGTGTGACCGTGCGATGTGTCTCCCGTGATCAAAGAATGATGTGTGCTGTATCCCGTCTAACTGCTAGTTAATCACATTTCTGAGTATCCGCTTGTGACCGAACTGTTCAGTGTTCAAACCACCAGACAGGAGGTCGCGGGTTCCAGACTACTCGGAAATGTGTACCAGTGATTACCAATATAGAAGAAACAGCTGTATAGTGCTTCTCAGCTGTTTAGCATAGACTGGTTTTTCCTGTAGGACGAAACCCCAATAGAAATGAGACGCAATTTATGCAGTAAGCGTTAACTGAATTCTTATGACGCATGTTTCGTCTGGATCGGCACCTGAAAAATGTCGAAGATGGATTCATACAACAACCCACGAAGCAACGTCATCTATTTTAATAGGGTAAACGTCTCAATACCAAGCTGACCTCCAAAAGGTAGCCCACGACTGAATTGAATCAGTCTTCTATTTGACTTCAACTCTGGTTGCTATCATGTAAGTAAAGACAACTTATGCTGAAGAAAATAATAATAATAATAATAATAATAATAATAATAAAGTTGGTCCACCATGTTGAAGACTCTTGGACGGTGCACGTTCCATGAATCTTGATAAAGGTACAATTCAATGTTCGGGCATGCTACCTCGGAACTATGGATTCACTAAAAGCCTTGTGATGAATTCGCGTTCAGATACGGCATAGTGACGTACGTCTATGTACTGCATAAATCCCGCTAACGTGCAAGTTAGCCACACTGCTGATTTTCTATAGAGGAAAATGTCGGTAGCTCAGGTAGCGTAGAAGGTTGCTGGCTTGTTCGCTGAGCTGCACAATTCGAATACAAACGTTTCATCACCATTCGAGGTGACATCATCAGTGCGTTGTTAGGAGCGTAGTGGAGCGTAGCAATAGGTTAGTGGTAGTGCTAATTCGTAATTTGCGGCTAAGTTAAAGTTTTCAACTCCCTCCTGACAGCTCGTACTTGAATTGCTCAAAGAAAGTGATAAAAATCCACATGCTACTCAACTCGCATTGCAGGATTTCGAGTATTCCGTGGGATTTCTAGGTTTCTTTATTATTGTTCCGAGCTGCGTCAAAGAAACTGTCAGGATCAGTTACATCAATGCTGGATTAAGCAGTCACCAAATTGTCCGTTTCTTTTCAGAGGTGTCGTTAACGGGATAGAGAATTGTATAAAGTTGAACATCGACCAGAGTCAGAGGAAATGCTCACCTGGGCCACACAGAGGCGTGACTTCAAGGAACGAAGGAATTCTTGAATTCCAACTTGAGATACATGTCCAGTCTTGGGTGGTCTGGGGAAAAAAGTTGCAGTATTTACAAAGCCGCATCAAGCTGAGTTCTGTTGTGGTAGTAAATGCGTGATCACAGTTTACATGGTGAAAAAACACTGAAATACTATTGGACATATTCCACATCATGAGTTGCACGTCTGCTTGTTTTGCCTGCGTGGTCGAACGCTGTTTGGGCGAAAGTTCAAGCAACGTATGTGGGAACAACAGCCCTTGGAAATTCCAGTGCTTTTTTCGTTTTCTTGCTATTGGTAATTTAGCAATAAAGAACCAATACAAAGCGCATGTGTTCACCAGTTTCCCTCTTCTATGTAGTTCTGTCGGTTTACGGTCGTCTCACCCCAAAAGTGTACAGCATGTAAAAACCACCGCACAATGAAGACCGCTTCTCCGTTCCACAAAACGTTCTTAATTCAAACAGACCGGAGTCCTCTACAAATAACGCCTTCAGAAAAACTATCGGAAGTTGGGGGTTTTCTTTGTGTGCAGATCAAAGTTTTTTTAGATTTCGGGAAACTAGGTGCTTGATAGGACAAAGTCTTATTGGCAGTGAAACACGTAAGACCTGAGCAAAATACTCATGAGTTTACCGATAGGTTACCATGGAGTAGGGTCAAAATGATTTGTCTTTTAACAGGATTGAAACGGTAATCTGAAAGCAACGTGGCCAACTGGTTTTCCAAAGTACGTCTACTATAAAAAAAAGTGAATCAGTTGTACGCCCCTCTATCAGGAATCCCGCTGTGAACCAATCAATAGTCTGTACGAATTTCACGTCTCCATTGTCCGTCTATTCGATAAACTCCATTTAAATTTCGGCACTGCAGTTTTTGACATGAACCGTTGCTCAAAAAGAGACTAATTATCAGTCATCAGTGCACCCTTGTAATTTGGTTGACTCGTGACGGAGATTCCCGAAAAGAGAGTTTGAGTGACGGGAATATTTAATTTCTGATCCTGTTCGACTTTGAATTTACGGTCTTGTAGGGCGTATAATAACGATCCGTGGAGGTCTAGACAAATGGTGGTGCAACACTAAGAAACAGAGATATTCAATAACTCGCAAAAGACAGGAATATTCACTTTTCTGGAATACAAGACAGTGATCATCCAAGGAGATGAAAAAGACGAACAATGCTGAACCATATCATCTGTGCCGGAAGTTAAACAAACGGAAATTCTTGCCACCAAGATGTGAAATCTCAGCAGAACCAAACCTGTGTGAACAAGGAATTAGATATGATTGTGACCAAAGACGGTAATGATTTACTTTGTCAAATATTCCTAGTAGAATTTATTAGGAAACAGTACTCTAGCTGCTGAATATATGACTGACTGAAGCGAAGTAGTTAGTGGTTGAAAAAAGATCACGTCTATTGGTAAGCCAACGGGGTAAGGATATAATAACTCATGTGTAAATGCACAGAAAACAGTAGTGTATTTAATTGATTCTGACACGCATAAATTAGATACCTACGTTGGTAACATGTAAAAATAAAATGAAACAAGGAAAATGTCTGTTTCTTACGGAAATTCGCTTCCACTTGAGAGACCATAGTTTCGAAATAATTTTGTCCCCAAATTGAGTTCGACCGAGATGAACTAAGTAAGTGTTCTAGCTGAAACAATCAAGCTGCCGAAACTCAGAGTTGAACAGGAACTACCGGTCTTGAGAGCAACACATCAAAGCTCTCTACGCTGATGAACGTAGATAACGCCATCTCGACATAGTCAAGCCCCAAATCGAACAAGGCAGAAGAATTCCGGCAGTTTACGAGGAAGGACAGTTTATTTACAGCATTATGGCAGCAGGTTAGAATTAACACAGTAATTGCACGAAGTGCCACAAATTCTTGGTTGGTAACAAGTTTCATGCCCTAATTAGTCACACATGGAAATGCAGTGCAGTTTCAGGAATATTTGGTGAAATCTGATGGACTAGCGATGGATGCTGATACCGACAGACGACTAACTGTACTTTGATGCGGAATTGGCTCAATATGTATCACAAAATGGGCGTTCACGAGGCCAAAATTTACCGTCAATTCTTTACTGACAAACCCTGTGTTTGCAAAGGAGCAGCTTCACCCGCCTACACACCACTTCAGTTGCCACAACAGCAATCAATCTCCCATTACACATTTGCGTATGACCAACAGACCTTTATTGATTTCAGTGATCTTCGACACAACATATTCCGGAATTCGTGGCAGTTAAATTCAAAATCCTGCCGGGTGATAAATTACGTACTTTTTCAGCGTCTCTACATAATCTACTCCACGTTTGAGTTTTTTGTAGAAAGACTCCCCAACTTTAGCTTGGTTTTACCTAGATGGCAGCTATCGTGCGTCGTGGAAAGTACGTGGCTTATTTTCGCCTGACTGTGAACAATCTACTGATTTCTATTTCCAGCTCACGGAGGATGGTCATCGTACAGGTTCAGAAAGGCGTGCTTTATCGAGTAACTTTGACAAGACTCACTGACGTACCCCTTGAACCATGTCCGTTGACAGTCTACGAATCGGCCTGGGGCTGAATCCAAATCGCCCAACAAAACCACAAAATAGACAATATCTCATTGCTGATTGATATTTTTTGCCTTCAGACCTCACGGGCTCCGCGCATGATGACGCGAGAACGCAACGCTTCAGCGGTACTTTCGCTTGGGAACTGTTTGCCTCCAGAAGTGACGAAATATTGGTTCTGATGTTAAAAAAAGAGCGCTAGAGATGCGCGCCGGTGCAGCAAGGAAATTAGCAGCGGCACCGGAGTTTGACAAACGCGTGACGTAATCAATGTGAACGCCATCGGCGACGGAGTAGGTTCAAAGTAGCTCGCGAGGTCAATTGAATCAGCTAGTGAGTTAGTGCGAACGGCAGTGTGTGAGAAGCACAATCCACCTGGCTGAGCACATAGGCTTCCAATGAGTCGGCTACGATTGCAGATGATCCTACGGTAGCACGCTATCACAGCAACTAAAAGCTGATAGGGTTGTTGGTGAACACAATTCCAATGGATTTTATAACTACTCCTTAAATAATGAATACAGAGTGAGATATTGGAACTACTTGCACTCTGTAATCTAGAAGCTTATTTATTTTAGAGAGAACGCATACACCGCCACTGAAAAGGGATTCAACCTTAATTTAAGGGGAAATCACTTGTGGTTGGCCTTTGTTCTTCGGGGTGTTTACACAATTTCGGTATAATAGGGTTCAAAGTAGTCATTTCCCGAATATCCGACGGTTGAAGTTCAACTCTCGAAGATAGTCATGATCACACACTGGGCTTAGTCTTTATGGTGAGTGAAACTCTACATTTGTTAATTTCTTTTTGGTGGGTATCAAAAGGGTCAAGTGAAGACTGAAATTCTTGGGTGATCCAAAAAATCTATTTTGAGAGATGAGATGTTTCCGCCCCCGTTCTCTATTGGTGTCTACTTAGAAACTTCGAAACAAACAGGGTGGTTTCATTACAGGTCGCTGGGCCGTTGCAAAAAATCATCTACTCAACAAACGATGGCCATACCTTTCTCTTTTTCGTAGAAAAGCTGTGGGCTCGATTACCCTGAAAATGAAATAGAGAATGCAACAATCATTTGAGAACGGGCACAGGGTGTACGATATCTACAACACCATACGAGTAAAGGTATGTTTCTCATTACACATAACAGGCACATAAAATCCATCCTAATGATACTAGTTGAGCACATGTCATTGCTTTATTTCGAGAGTGAAAGAGAGGTCCAACTCCAGTATATCTGGTAACGACTAAAGGATGGGTTTTTTACCTCTTATTGTTACCCTTTTCGTTACGTGCCTACAGCAAAAAAGCAGCGGAAGAAGGGCTATTTCTGTGGTCTGTGGACATATTCAAAAAACATGACCAACTCACATTATTGAGGAATCCACCGTTTTACCGACATTGAAAAAAGCTAGGCGATCTAAGATTGACTCTATTTTGTCCTCTCCAACCACGGAGAATTCGACCTGGAACCGAACAGATGGTACAAACATGAAAAAGGAAATTAGGAACGTCGAAAAACGATATTTATCGTCAACACGTGATGCTTGGTCTTCACATTCAGGATCCCTAAACAAGCTGATTAGCTTGGAGTAGATTCTTTGTAGGATTCGAAGACGCCGACCACATCACACTAGATTCCGTGTTAATTAATAGCCCAAACTCGGAATAGTGTGCATCGACAAATCATGCGAATAGGCCTGATCAATCACATGAAGCGGCTGAATCTTTTATATTTATTGTGAACTGAAAATACTGACGCAGCTCTGACCCAAAGTACGACTGCCACTATGTCATTTCTTTGTAAAGTTTCGTGATTCGTTCCACCTTATCTGTTGGGCGCAGATTCATGAGAACTTTCAAATTACAAGAATTATCGTCACTTTACCGTCGCTTCAAGCAGTCTTTATACATCCTCCTTTCAAATATCGAGGAACCAGACTGTGGTAGCACTGAAACTGTCACCAGCGCTTACCTTCTCTTCTACTGGGAAGTGTTGCGGATGATGGAGCTAATCGGGTGACAAAATAATAACAGTATGTGTGATAACCATGGTTATGTTTAATCTCCATGCTCACTCCAATGCTCAGTCATACGAAAAGTGTGGTGAATCGCTCAGTTGACAAAAAAGGTAACTTATTTTGCAAGGTGTTTTTCATTCAACCCAATACCATTCACTCCTTCTGTGCGACGGTCACCTTCAGTGAATCATGCGTTGTCTCTCCCACTGGTCCACTTACTTTCACTTCACCCATTCCCCCGTGTGACTGTTTCTCATGGTTCAATGGGCTTTACGTGGTCCGTTGCTGTCTTCGAAGCAGTTGTTAGAATTTTTTCGACATTTGCTCGAGTTAAGCGTTCCGCGTTGTGAGGAGAACGTCGGTCACTTGATGAGGATTCTTCGAGGGAAATAACTGACCTTTTTTTCTGACTTATCGTAACTAAGCTAAGGAGCCCAATAACCAAGTGACAGTATCGATTGTATGCCGTGTTCTGTCCAAATAAAAAAATCTACAGATTGTTTACCGGGCCCTTCTGAAACGAATAAAAGTTTGTTTCTGATGGACACTTTAAATTAGAGAGTTTCTTCTGATTATTTGTTTTTCGTGTCTTCTCGGAGTTTTTTTCAAATTCACCAGATGGTTTACGCTATCTTTAGAGTGATTTTCTGATGAACATGCAGAGCTTACACAGAGCACTATCGATGTTATTTTGCGACTGTTTGCTCTACAGTGAATTTCAAAGCAAATGGACATTTCGCTGTTGGTAGTTCAAGAAACGGGATTTAAACACGCAAGAAACCGTCAACGACAGTACAGGACGTCATTCAAGCAGCCGAATTTGCATGGGAACCACAACTGAAGCATATGATTGGGATCGGTGATATGCCATGCGAATGGTACCATATTTATTTTCGTTAAAAATAATTTTTGGATGCTCTCATAATAGTCGCGCAACTGTTTTCTGATCTACTGGTGTTGAATGCTGTTCATTAGCCTCGAAAATAGCGGACGAGGTCAAGAAGGCCCTTACACCTCGTTGGCCTCCATTTTTACTGGACTGTTGTTTTTTACTCTGTTCCGCGGGATCCAGTTCAACTTTTCATCAATGCGGGGTACTTCACTTGTCTATAAAATGTGAATCCACAGAGGGGGTTGATTGACAGAGGAAAAAATCAGGGTACGTGATCTCCTCATTGTATCAGGAGAGCGTTTGCTATTAAATACTCTTTAGTGACTCATTTCACCTGGTCCCTCTTTTTAACAGGTCACCTATCCAGTTTCTTTATGGTGGTCTTTTGGTCCAGTTGTCCTACCCTGCGCTCTGGTAGTAATTTTTGTGAACGATAACCGTGCTGGTGATCAGCGCACATGCTCTTTGTGTTCCAAACCCTGCAATTAACGATCACAAAATAATTGCACTAGAATCTGCGTTTGATTGAAATGGTATTCCGGAGAATCGTAAAACCTCGTTTCTGGTGGAAAAAGTTGTCCCCAAAGAAAAATCACCTCCCAACTTGAACTGATTCCCATGAGTGGTGGCTGGTCAAGGAGAACTAAGTTCTCCGCCCTAGCTACTATTTTGACTATATTTGGTAGTTGGACTGTGGTACTTTGCAGATTGCATCACGGGATACATAGATAATGAATTCGTCCGGGACTTGGACAATAATGCTTATCTCAGGCCGTTCGAAGTTCCTCTTAAGCAGACCTCCGTTTGTGAAAAAAAATTCATCAGGACCCTCATAAGGCACTAGGATTATTGAGCCCGGTTGAAATGAGACATGGCTGTTCGGAATTTACCTTTCGATCAGTCATACACTTATTGCAACTTGCCAAAATACACGAGGCAAGCAAATAATACAGACGGCCGCCTAAGTAACCTTTATTATCGAGTGTTGGTTAGAAGGCAGTCGATAGGTTCGGGGTTCCTCCCATTTATTGGACGCACTTGCGCTAACCAAAACCTCCACTCACTTTTTCTATCAAACAATAGTTGCCTAAGCTGTCAACGACTGGAGACTGGTCAGGTTAAGGTCAAACTATTGTTGTTGAACTTACACAGTGTAGCAGTGTACACGATACACATGGCGGAACACCGGTTTGTGAATGGCTGACTGAAAGTCAACCAGTGCTGTTCATTTCACCCTTCTCAAGCAGAAACAAGATAAATCGTCTTGAGATGCCAACCAGTTAAAATATTAAACATGCTCACACATAGTGAGTTCAAAAGTTGTTCAATACCACAAAGAAAAGCGAAACGGGACAATTACTAGAAGTACGGAGTGGTAATGCAAACAAAAGTATTGTGATAACCTTTCGTGTCACCCTGGCATCGACAATCAATAGTAATCAAAAGTTATTACAAAGTTGTAAAAAAAGTCGTTTACTAACGAACTTGAATTGAGAAGGAAAGACAACAGCTATTTTTCAATCTACTGTGACCTGGGGAGAACTAATATGATTGCGTACACTTGTAAACAGCGGAGCACGAAATCACACGAAATTATCCGAGTCGTTTTGTTGCGGCTTTCACCGACCCAGTACCACTGAACATCATACGGAATATAAGATCATATAAGAACAAGAAACAATGAAACAAGATAACCAAGGTTGAATAGTTGCCAACCACAACATAAGGGGCTTATCATTGGCATTTCCACTATGGGGATGTGTTTCATTTGTTTTGTAGTGATCATGTAATATGACCAACCAGGGTTCACTGATTCATTCATCAACATTCTGAGCAACATATCACGTTGCAGCAAGTGGTACCGTAGTTGTGACATGATCGGAAACGGAGTATGCGCAACCGACAGATAATATTTGGTGTTCTACAGCAAAACCAGGCATAAACAGGTTCTTCCTAGACAGTTGGAACACTGAAAGATCAACCGGAAGAGCAAAAATTGGAAACTAGTCCTGCCACGAAAAGTGAATAATTTTTCATATCCTGTAAATGCTTCACTTGGAAAGACTTCTTAACGAACCCTTAATTCGGTGATTCCCTGGAAGAAATACTTCTAGCCTAAGAACAATTATTCCTTACCTAAACTGGTCAAGTTAGGGCCTCCACAAAACCCCCGAGATGAGATCTTTGCATTTGTAATTGCTAAGTACTTCTTTGCAACAAAAGAGCAAGCAAACCTATCTAATAGCCACCTTGTCCAATGTAAACAACACTCTCATGCTTGACACATAAGGAGAAAAGGTGGAATGTATGGCCTAATGGAGGTATAGATGGTCAGGTTTCTTATGGTTGATCATAGCAAGGTGAATTAAATCGAATTCTAAAGCCGGAATTTCAGATAATGTGCTCGAAGAGCAATCGATTGCTCTGCTGACCTCAACAGTATCATCCAGATTAAGCAGATCATCCGAGTTTGCTTACCGTTAGGACCGGTAAATCCTTTTTATTGAGAATTTCTTCGAAGTCGAAAACACGGTCATGTTGTACCCTAACTTCTGTTCTGAGCTTACGTGAACCAGATCTTGTCCGATGCACAAGGCATCATGTGATGAAAACTGAGTTTGGCAGACCCAGAGGTAGCGGAAGCTTCAGATCGGTCGTGCTTCCTAAATTCGGATTTCATTTGCTATGAACTAACAACGAAGCGTCTAAACTTCCACTTTGACCAAAAATTTGTCTTATTATGGCGTTTTGAAGGTCATAGCAGCCATCTTCATATCGCACTTTCAAAAAGTAGGTCCGTCAATCTAGAAATCTTTAGATTGGATCGATAAACAGCATTCTGGATAAGGCATTGCAACCGGGCGTAAACTGCTAAAACGAACGTGAATGCCTGCGATGATCTCTAGTACTGTTTGTTCGCCACTGGGGAAGATCGTTCACTAATCCGAACTTTTGTCGCCAAACAAGCACAACGCTAATTGATTTATACTATTGTGAGAAAGCTGATTGTACATAGACTCGGATGACTAAACTGGTCAAGTTAGGGCCTCCACAAAACCCCCGAGATGAGATCTTTGCATTTGTAATTGCTAAGTACTTCTTTGCAACAAAAGAGCAAGCAAACCTATCTAATAGCCACCTTGTCCAATGTAAACAACACTCTCATGCTTGACACATAAGGAGAAAAGGTGGAATGTATGGCCTAATGGAGGTATAGATGGTCAGGTTTCTTATGGTTGATCATAGCAAGGTGAATTAAATCGAATTCTAAAGCCGGAATTTCAGATAATGTGCTCGAAGAGCAATCGATTGCTCTGCTGACCTCAACAGTATCATCCAGATTAAGCAGATCATCCGAGTTTGCTTACCGTTAGGACCGGTAAATCCTTTTTATTGAGAATTTCTTCGAAGTCGAAAACACGGTCATGTTGTACCCTAACTTCTGTTCTGAGCTTACGTGAACCAGATCTTGTCCGATGCACAAGGCATCATGTGATGAAAACTGAGTTTGGCAGACCCAGAGGTAGCGGAAGCTTCAGATCGGTCGTGCTTCCTAAATTCGGATTTCATTTGCTATGAACTAACAACGAAGCGTCTAAACTTCCACTTTGACCAAAAATTTGTCTTATTATGGCGTTTTGAAGGTCATAGCAGCCATCTTCATATCGCACTTTCAAAAAGTAGGTCCGTCAATCTAGAAATCTTTAGATTGGATCGATAAACAGCATTCTGGATAAGGCATTGCAACCGGGCGTAAACTGCTAAAACGAACGTGAATGCCTGCGATGATCTCTAGTACTGTTTGTTCGCCACTGGGGAAGATCGTTCACTAATCCGAACTTTTGTCGCCAAACAAGCACAACGCTAATTGATTTATACTATTGTGAGAAAGCTGATTGTACATAGACTCGGATGACTGAACAATTAAGTGTGAGGTTTTCTGATTTTTTTTGCACTGGTCACTATCAGGAAGGTCAGATTCCTGAATATAACTTCAGAACGCCGGAAACCTACTGCTCCACCAAAGTCTCAACAGGAAAGCCGGCCAGCATCAAAGCCAGTCAATCATTCAATCAATTCAGCAAAAGCCAACGAGTCCTCATGCATGCCACAGAAGCACGACCGAATTTGATCAGCGTTCAGGAATTTCATAGAGGAACGATGCATGTTGACGGGTGTTCACTAACGCCTATCAGACAGCCTGGATCAATATCAGAAAGTCCCCTTTAAGTAGCTTGGGGCCGTTGTAACTTTTGCTCTCGCACTCGCACGCACTCACGCTCTCGCACTCGCTTGTTCGGAAACTAACTGTTGTGTTCCCTTCTGTGAGTCTTTTTCGGACACTGGGCACTGGAGCGGGTCAGCAGCAGATACCACAGATTGGCGAATGAGCAGACATAGTAGTCATCATGTTAGCTTCCGTAATAGATGAATTGGTGTTGTGACACGTGAAATGAGATGGATGTCCTTCTGTGCATACCCTGCAAAAATATCACTGGACCAAACCAGGAAATCTTCCAGGGTAATTGTCGGTCGACTGCCTTCAAAAAACTGTGTATTACACTCACCGTTCCGAATTCAGAGCCCCACCGTGAACACTCTAGCTTATTTGAATCAATCTTCCTGTGTAATGGCAATTCAAATGGACGTGATTGTTTTTACCATCGTTTCTACTAATACTACGAATTCCCCCATTCGCTTTGCGACCTTATTTTAGTATACGTATATATAGTATAGTATATATATATAGTATATATATATATATAGTATATACAAATTCAATACCTTCGATTGGCACTCGTGCGCTCCCCTTATCTCCACTGATCACTGAAATTTGAGCCTGTAACACTGTCACGAAGAGACTAGACCTTACCGCGCTGCGACCTGCAAAAACCCACCAAGCTATTCTGGGGAGTGTATATGTGAGATCCATTGAGCCCAGGTTGATCAAATGGTAGCGGCCTGACTAAAGCATTCTTTCAGTCCTCCAGATTGGGGGTTCAAAAATGTGTGGCGAATTGCCCCACTCTGACGGTCTTATGCCAACCTACGCTGCCTTTTAGTTAGGCTTCTGAGCCAAAGACTCATCGAGGACCCTAATCATCCTCAAGTCTAGTTCTGAGCTCTCTGCCAGTATCCCAGTCTATGTACAACCACTGATTGCACACTTGTTAATAATATTACGGCAGTTAAGCGCCAGTATTCCTATTTTGTTATACTGTCAATGGTGATGAAGGGGGGCCTGTATTGAAACTCATACTTCAACGAGGGTAATAGAACTATCGTACGGAACAATTCATACAAGCGAAACAAAGTTACTGTGCATCAGATGATACTAGGCTACCGAAGAATGTGGGTTTTGCCACCGATCTTTATATTTTCTTTTGTTTAAAATCCAACTGACTGTTTTGACTTGTTACCCTGTTGAGGCTCTCCACTTCGGCGACGCCAGGTCCCCTTTTCCACTATCTAAGCAGCCACGGAGGGAAAATGGCCACATCTACAGGAGGTTAGGTCATGCAGACGTCGGATAATTTATGCGAGAAATCAAACTAGAAATCACTGTGTGCAATTAAATCTGTCAATAGGAGCACTGGCAAGAAAATTCGCTTCGAAATGTAGTGAAACTTGAAGTAGTTGTGTGGTGAAGGATAACATAGGCCTTTAGCTAACCTTGAACTTACGAAGATCAATGCTCATATAGTGCACTGACGTTCCGGGCGAACAAGTAACTGTTTTCATAAGGGAAACCACTCACAAGGTTGCTGAAAACTCTTCGACAGCCCACAACCGGTTTCGCCCTTCTTGAGGCTCATCAGGTAGGAGCAGTCCTCGAGTTTCCGTCAAGCCTATGTTTCAATTGGACCTGTTCTGTCTACAAAGTGCCATTTCACCGGGTGAGTCTTCGATCCATATCGAAGAGGGAGACGGTGAAATGATAATACTTTGTTTGCTCCTCCGTTTTTCTTAGGCTGCCTGGACGAGTAATGATGAATCTACTAGAAGCGAGAATCTACTAGGAGTAGATCAAGTTGCATATGATCACTCTCGCTCCATAGTGGATGCTCTTGCATGTCCAGTTCGAACCGTCACTGCAGCGCTGGATACAATAAATCAATACTTCAGTAACCATACTGATGCTCGTGGCATCATTGACAGATTTTCCAATGACGTATGGGGTGTATTGAGTTTGGTTTAAACAAATAAAGTCTACTTCACAAGCTGCACAGAATTCAGGACCCACAACGAAACATTCGCTTGCCCATCACCGATTGTCGGAGGTTTCCCCTAGGGGCACGATTTTCCCTTGTTCTCCTTTTTGTATGTGATTTTTTCAGATAGTACAATAGGCTGATGATATGCTACCTGGAGTAAACACAGGCTACAAACTGTACTGAATAAAGTCATCAGCTAATCAACCGATAGCTTCCTCACCCGCAGTCCCCTTCGGTCAACACTAAAATGACCTAATCGGTAGATATCACCATCGCTACTTTTGCTGCCCTTCACGCCATCCTTTTCAATGAGTGTGAACTTATCAAATAGACATATTGGGCCTCTCTATATCCACATGGTCCGGAGTCAAACTAGACACCCAACCATGATTTTGCGACACAGAATGTCTTCTATTCCCTTCAATTTAGCACATTGGTACCTTATGGCTTGTATCTTCCCCCACTGCATTGACTCTCACTGAGTTTCCTTGGGAGGGATTACTTTCCCCAGTGTAAAGTCGGTAAAAATCTGTATTGGTTGACTTCGGAGTAAGCTATGTTGTTTGTTATAACTCCATCTAATTAGTTATATCTGAGATTTTGCAACCGCTTCACCAACACTCACCACAACCAACCAACCAATCAACTAATTCATACACTCATAAGCACCAAAATTTCCCCTCACCCTAATTCTATGATCCGTTACATGATCATTTACCTTCTCGTTAATTCAACCTCCCTGAGTAATAGCCCTGAGTTTCGGTCACTGGAAGATACCTCAGATAATGTTTTCAACATACATCGAAATATCTTATCATTCACTTGTGGTCATCTTGTAAATGAATATGTCCTAGAGTGCATACAGCTTTTATTAGCTTGAACTAAGCCTTCTTTTTATCGGCTTGATTCCGGTCATTTTCCCGCCATTCATATTTTATCCTTTCTCTCACTTGGTTATCTTCCCTTGTGCGAGTTCACAAAGCCATGTCCCCATTTCATACGACGGTTAATTAATAGGGCACCGCTGACTCTGGTCGAGCCCGAATAGTTCTCGCTCTTTGCTTAAACTTCTGGCCTGACTGCGAGTAAGAAATCAAAAAGGGTTGTCCAGGTTCCGACAATAAAATACATAATTCGATTGTCTACACGCCAGAAGGAATTGCTCGAATAGTTACTCACTTTGAAGAATTGTCCATTTCGGCTCGTGCTCCAAGTGTCAGTCGTGATGGATTCTTCGTCCAAAATCTGTTGGACCGCCTAAAACTTGGAAGCAGATGCAAGCGATTTCTTGAGAAATTACATTATTTTTTAAGCAAAAAGTAACTGATAGTCGTATGAATATATTCGGATCGTGAAAAAGCAACTGCCACTAGCAGGTGAATAGATTGAACTGCTCTTGTTTTAGAATCACTTGACTGCTAAAAGTTGCAACCTTGGACGAGAAGCCAATCCATCGAATAGGCCAGAGTCTCACTTTCCTCGTCTTCATTTATCTTCCAATGAACTGAGGAGTCTAAGGAACGTAGCCCTGCTGACATCTTTCACCCTTTGGCCCAGTTGCAACCGAGTATATCAAACAACATTGAGTGAAACGTGGTTAACGGCTGAAGAAAACTGTACATCTCAAGCAGTTGTTCCATCTTCCTGACTGTTCGGAGCTCTCTCTCTCTCTATAGGCTTTTCTGTCGGTGGTATAATCCCATCTACTGAACAGGCGCACTAAGGACACCAAGCTTGTATACAACCAGCAGGTTTCGGTTAAAGGTCAAAGTTTCGGTCCCGGAGAGAAATAGTGGACGTGAAGCCTACCTAGTTCAGTATGCGAACGAAATCACTGATTCTATCGAAGTTCACGTTAACCATTATTTCTGTTTTGAACCACTACTCTGGTTTGTTAGTGCAAAGGTATAAGATAAAGCAGGGTGCTTAAAGTTCTAGAGTGAAAATGGTCAAGTGACGGGCAGAAACATCGCTAGACTGGCACCCAGGTATGTACTAGATTCATGGCATGTGACGACTGTAAAAATCGACTGTAAAAATTTTCATTTACACGGTAAATTTGAAGTGATCTGCGTTCGAGAATTCCAGCCCTGTGAAGTGAGGTATCGAAAAACGTAAAAGCAAAAAGTGTCAACATTAACACGAGTGTCACAGTCGTAGAAACACTAAGGATGCCTTATCAAACCTGTTCCTTTCGTATGCTAGCCGTTCTAAGTACTAACTCATCCGAAGGGCAAATCACCTAAATGTCGATGGAATGGAATGTATGTTACATACAACGCCTGGCTGTCCCAACTTTAGTCCCCCTGTCCCTCATGAATAAAAGTCCATACAGGTGGAACCAACGTACATGTGGTACACCGGAAGTGAACCAGTGATGTGACTCGAGCGCAGTCGAATGGCGTTTGTCATCGAGCTGTCATCGTGATTGGCTTTTCGATGAGTGCGACGACGCGACTCTGGCGAAACCGCTAATCAGATTAGTCTACGAGTGAGCAATACTCAACTACCACAACCTTTTTTCAATCGCAGATTATGGGTCACTTATCTGTCGGGTCTTTCTTAGAAGAATTCGATTTTGAGGGACAAATTACATTCAGTTAATCATCTGTCATTCCAGATAACATATGTGTGGAACAAACTCGGTACACCAAGGATATCTGATGTCTTATTTTTCATAGGCATCCATCTTCAATAAATCTCAATGCCAAAACATAGACAGGTCATGGCAGTTCACGTCAGTTCCTATTACTTGCATATAATTGCACCATTCAAATAGCTGGGTATTTTTTACTAACCTAATGATTCTTATCTTTTACTTGTGGAAGGATCGATAGAACTACTCATACAGTGCTCGATGGCTAGCAAATGGTGACGGTCATGTACAAAAAAGACTGCACAGTTTTTTCTATCATGTGACATCAGAATCAGATGTTAAAAATGGTTTTCTCGTTTCTACGGAAAACATATAGCCAGACTGTTTCTGAATATGACTGCTGTTTCAACCATCGATCGAAAATGCTAGGAATGTAGAAACCTGTGATGACTCTCAAAACTGTATCAATACGACAGCTGATTTTTTTTAACTTGCTCATCTTCCAAAATTATGTGAACCACTACGGATGTTAGGCAGACAGAACTTGTAAACTGTTACCTAGGTGCTCCGACTAAACTTTTGTTTTGTCCATAGTTCTGTGGCTATGTTCACATGACTGCTCACAAGATCTAGTTTTCCACATAAACTCCACATTTTATCTCGATCGGTTGCACCGAATTGTGTGCAGAATTGCTTCCNCTGGAGGGTTGCTTGAAGACCATGAAACCAGTCTGAGTTTGGTTCGCCGAATTGCCAAAGTTAGACTACGGCCTACTGACCACGACCAGGCCGCTGGAGGATTTACCACACCTCGTGTTCAACCAGCAGACCCAAGCCGATTGAACGACTAATGTGGTGGTTCTCCCTGACACGCCAGCATGGTGCGTTATCGCCAGTGTGTTTGTGAGATCAGTTGCGACGGTTGCGCTTGCCATGAGTATGTTTGTGCTCAGGTACAACTTAGTGCACGATGTTCACTGCCTGACATTTGAGTACCAACTTCCGCTTCTGGTGCATGATGATGATTGGTTCCTGGTCTGCTCTCTTGGTCGTCCCCATCCGCCCCGAAAAAATCAAGCGTGATTTCACGAATCATCAGCAGATGAGCAAGTATTAAATAGTTTTGGGTGACGGAAGTACGAACCAGCTAATAGGTCTGGCGACGAACGAGTACTTATTGGATTTATCTTGGGTTGAAAAATACATTGCAGAGAGTATGCACTATGTTGAACCCATTCAATCTGCTCATCCATGATGATATGTCACCCAGTGTGTTGCAGATTAATAAGAGTGAAGTCCCCCAACTGCTGGTGGATAAATTGATTTTCACCATACTATGATATCCATGTCGTCCTACGGGAAGTTTACTCATAATTTTGCGTAGAGGGATGATTTAAGTGCGCACATGTCCCGTAGAGTAATGTCAACACATCAATATCTCCTGACCAAATAACATCTTCGGTTGGACGACACACGTTCATGCTTACTTAGCAAATTACGAGTCTACTTGTCTCCAACTTTGCGGTATTCAAACTTTTTACAGCTAGCTGTCGATTGATTTATTCGCCTCACTTCTTTTTGTTCACTGACAAGCGTCTTTGGTCAACAGCCCTTATGTCAAAATATTGTTTGAAGTGCCTTAGTAATCTGTCTGATATATCGACGGCTATTCACATTTCTGTAATGTCAAACCGCCAAGGAATCAGTTTTATCGGGAAAAACAACTGAATTGTGTTCTATAGCGATCGTGCAGCTCAATGCCTGATTTCAGTGCTTTAAAACAATTATAACATTTTTAGCTGGATGGACCCGACCAGCCTTCGAAACTGGTCGATTCAATTCCAACTTAACCCATTGTTCCAGTGTGATAAACTTAGTAAGGTAAAAAATTTCCAATTGGAATGTGGCCAAATTACGCTTGTGTTCATCTTCACCGCTTTTTGTTTTTGAAACCCGAATGACTGGTTTTGATAGCATGTACAGAAGATACCGGAAGATACGCTTCCGGTGTTTTTCTCTCGTAAAAGTTAGACAGTACGCTCAAAACTCCAATTTATATTTACATGACTGGTTTCGGGCCCCATCTGATTTTGGAATCAGTTGATTCATGTTTAGTTTCACCCACTATCCTATTGTGATGATCATGATCAGATCAGAATTTCCAGTTGGGATGTGGCCGAGTAGGGGTTGTATTAATCTCCTTTCTGCTGCGAGAAGTCGAATGACGGGTTTTGATAGCGTATGAAGAGATTACCAAATGATATGCTTCAAATGTTTTCCTCAACGTTCGGCTGGTACGTTCAAACAATCTTATTTTTGTTTGTGTGTCTGGGTTTGAGCCCCCGGTTCCGCTCAGGAGTTTGACGAATTTGACAGATTACAGATGTACAGATGTATGCACACAGCCTGTTGAACCCTTTACGAAATTTGCTTGTCGCTTCAGATCGTACGATGTTCGGGATATTCCAGTATATTTTTTCGAAGGAAACTACTCGAAGTTTGTGCCCTGGAAACAGGTAAGCCAGTCGTGTGCTTCAGCAGAGTTTCTAACAACCAGAGTTTCAACACACACAGCTGAATACTATCTCAAACAACCGATTCAACTGGCATGCGTTGCGCCTCCTGTTAGAACGAAACTGCTATGCAAATAAGAGTATTTCGCTTACATTCAGTGTACATCTTCTCCTAGAGATCTAGTGTTAGTCATAAGCCTCCGATGAATCGCTTTGCTGGAGAGAACACTCTGACTGCTGTACTTCCATAACCTATTTTGGGGAATTTCTTTACACCCAGGAGAAGCAGGAAAATGGTATTACCTCCAAAGTTTGGAATGTCATCAAGCGTGACACTTGTAAGCCTTTACTCGATGGGTTCATGACCCGCATGGCTAACGATTATGACTGGAGCATATCAGTCACAGTTGTTGAGTTGTGTAAAGGAGATTAACATAATCAGTTCATATCTTTATGGGTGAAGTTCACAAAGGAGACAGATGACGGTTCGAGTAGTTGCTTTAGCCAGTTTAGGCTCATAGAATTCACTTATTGATAAATACACACCTTTGTGATAGACTGCACCTGATCGAAACTACTTTTTATGATTCGTCACGCGTTTGCGAACTGCACACTACGTGGTCCACTTGAGCAGCTGTTTTTAATGCGGGGAAAACAATCTTCATTCAGTGCTTTCCCACAAAACCTGAATCATGTAGTTCGTAGGATGTGTCTCAAAAGTACACCGGTTTTTTAACGTGAAATCCACAGGATTCGCTACTGGGCATTCTGAATTACCAGGACATTAGACGCCACTATTCATGCATTGCTTTATGTTTCTATGCATTTCAGAACTGAAAAAAATTGAAGAAAAAAACAGGAAATGAATGTTGCAGAATTGTATGACTACCGATCGCTTGGATATCTTGTTACATGGTGATTGGCTAAAAACGGTATTTTCGCGTAGGGATTGGACTAGGTTTTTTAAAAACCTCGACAAGCGCACAGAAGACAGCTTCATGGAGGCAGTCGGATGGTGATGATGAACAGATGAGTGTTACCACGTAAATGACTGGGTTCACAATGGACGAAATATCCCGTCGTTTTTTTAAAGATTGTCAGCTTATGCAATGTGGGGGCGTTGTAAAACAAGCGGCGTCACATCTAGC